CAGTGCGCATTTTTAGAGAGCTTTAGGTTAAAAACATTAAAATAAATAAAAATCAGCTCCCAGCTTCCCTCACCTTTAACCAGACTGTGTTGTGGCTGGGGCTGGGGCCGTGCTGTGTTGGGTGGGCGCCCTGCTCACGCTGTCCCCTCTGTCCCCAGTGCTCAGCGCGGTGTGGCGAGCGCAGCGTGGTGACCCGGGACATCCGCTGCTCGGAGGAGGAGAAGCTGTGTGATGCCAGCGCCCGGCCCCTGGCTGAAAAGAACTGCACGGGGCCACCCTGCGACCGCCAGTGGACTGTCTCTGACTGGGGACCGGTGAGACCCCGGGCAGGGGATGGGTGGCACCTCCGGGCTCTCCCTGATCACCACCCGTCCACTCCGCGCTGCGTTTCCTGGGGTTTAGGTTTAGTGGGGCTTGTGAGCACCAAACCCTGACCTGCAGAAGGCTCCTTGCCCATGGCAGGGATGAGCCTGTGCTCCATCCCCATGGGTCAGGGGGCATAGTGGAACCCTGTGCCACACTGAGAGCCTGGCCAGCTCCTGCTGTTGTCACCCAGCAGGTGCCAAAAGCACCCTGTCTGCTGCTGAGCTTGGCAACGCTGATGCCCCATGCCTAGAAAATGAACCTTTAGCCTTTTTCTCCCCTTTTCCCTTCCTGCACACTTTTGCTACAGAGACCCTCTCCATCCCAAGCTATTTTTACGCAGGGTTTTTATTCCCTGGCTAAAAATAAGCAGTTTCCATGGCAGCAGCGGGGCTGCAAAACGCCGTGCGTATCAGCAAGAGCGGCCGCAGGAGAACCGGGGAGCATCCGCTGCTCCCCCCGAGGCTCGGGGCACGGCTGAAGCAGTGAAGGGGGGACACTGGCAGCCACTCGCTTGGCCCCATTTATCTTGGTCTCTGAAAGTCGCCCCAAGTTCCCCTGTTTGTGGCACTTCTCCTCCTGCCCGTGCCAAGGAGGTGCCGAGTTTTGCTTGGTGACAGCGGGATGTGACCGGGGCACGTTGGTTGCAGGGGTTCCCCGGGGAAGGACGCGCCCAACTTCCCCGCAGCAAGCATTTGCTGCTTTTTTAATCCAAACCCCGAGGATCCCTTGACAAGGTGGGGCTGGGGAAGAGCTGAGCCCCAAGCAGGCATCTTGGTCCCCAACCTGGGTCATCCACGGGGCTGGGATCGTGCTGCTTCCCCCGCCGCTGACCGCCTGCTGTGCTCGGTGTGGTTTCAGTGCAGCGGCGGCTGTGGGCAGGGCAGGATGATCCGGCACGTGTACTGCAAAACCAGCGACGGGCGCGTGGTGCCGGAGTCGCAGTGCAACCTGGAGACGAAGCCGCTGGCCATCCATCCCTGCGGGGACAAGAACTGCCCGTCGCACTGGCTGGCGCAGGACTGGGAGCGGGTAAGGTTTGGGGAAGGGGCAGTGCTCAGCAGTCCCCTCGGGGGGCGATGGAGGAGGACGCTCTTGGTGCGGGGCAGGGATTGGGGGTGCACGGCTCTCAGCACCACTTGCATCCCCACAGTGCAACACCACGTGCGGCCGGGGCGTGAAGAAAAGGATCGTGCTCTGCCTCGAGATCGTCAACGGCAAGATCAAGACCCGCAACCCTGCTGACTGCGACGTGGCCAAGAAGCCCGTGGAGGAGACGACGTGCTTCGAGCGGCCGTGCTTCAAGTGGTACACGACCCCCTGGTCGGAGGTAGGTGAGGAGGGGACTGGGGGCAGCTCGGGGGACCTACTGTGGGGGGAAATTCCCTTCCTACACCGCCTGCAAAAAGCCCCGAGGAGATGGGTGAAGCTTTGCAAGGTGCAGCCCGCAAGGGAGCGCATGGAGGAGCCCCTTTGCTTTGCTAGCAGCTCAGAGCCTGCCCTGGCACAACGCAGGCAGGACTTGCTGTGAACAGGACCGAGAGGAGATGTTTTGTGTTAGCTTTAGCTTTTTTTTTTTTTTCCCTGTTATTCTTATTCACCCCTTTTCCCCTGCACTAGCTTGTAGGAGTGTGGCTGGGGCTGTGCACGGAGCCTGCGCTGCAGCTGCCCCACAGATGGGCAGGGAGCAAAGCTGGGGCCCAGCAAGGTGTGGGGTGATGCTGGGGGCAGGCTGGGCTGTCCCAGTCCCGTGCGGGGCTTCTCTGCGCCGCGAGCAGGGAGACAACAAGCAGTGAAGGGCTGTTCCCAGCTCCCTAACGCAGGCCTTCTCGTCTGCCTGGAGCTCGTTTTGTTTAGTCTTAAAACCAGTCCTTGCAGCCTATAATTAGCCCAAGAAACCCTGCTGTAATCCCCGTGCGCCGAGGCATCCAAAGGGCAGCAGGCTGCGAGCGCAGCCCAGGAGCAGCTCTGTGCACCCCGGACACGTTGCACAGACCCCGGCCCTACAGCCCCAATCCAGGGGGGGGTCACGGCCACCCTGGTGCCACCGAGCAGCTCTGAGCCAGGTGGTTTCAGTGAGAGGAGGGAGTTTTGCAGCCCCAGGGGTGGGAGCGTGTCCATGGATGGCTGTCAGCCTGGTGCAGATGTCTGAGTGCTGGCAGGGAGCAAGGGGCCAGCAGTGAAACCAGGGGTGCAGAGCTCAGCCCCCTGCCCCGACGGCTCCAGCGAGGGGGTTTTTTAGCAGGTCCTGGCTCGGTGCAGACCCCCACAGAGCGGGGTTTCTCGCCTCAGCCCCGAATCTCTGTTCTCCAGTGCACAAAAACCTGCGGCATCGGCGTGAGGATGCGGGATGTGAAGTGCTACCAGGGGAAGGACATCGTCCGTGGCTGTGACCCGCTGGTGAAGCCAGTTGGCAAGCAGACCTGCGACCTGCAGCCCTGCCCCACAGAGCCCCCAGGTGAGCCCCCCCCCCAGTGTTTTATTTTCCATAGCCCCCCAGCTTGCTGCTCACCCCAGGGAGGACACAGAGGGCCCAAGGGACGTGGTGCCGTGCTTTATCTCTATGTAACCCCATTAAATAAAGGGGAGATTTCAAAAGCAGCGCGCTCTAACCAGAAGATAAAAGGGAGCTGTGGAGAGCTGACCCTGGTGGTGCTTCTGTGTGATTCCAGCTCATGTCTAGGAAGTTTTGTCTGTGCCATTATTTTAATGATTTTTGGTCTCCGAATGTCCCGTGGGATTTGTAACTATCTCATTATCTGACTCGTCTGCTGGCTCAAAGCCCCTGTGATCTTTAGCGAACACGCGGTTCTAATTCTTTAATAGGATTTGGGAATAAGGATGATGTGGGAGAAGAGCACAGGGGTGGGAGGCAGGTTTGGGGCCGGCTCTGGGCCTGGCTGCAGACCTGGGGTGCCCCTGGCTACCAGCTCAGCTTCCCAGTGGGTCAGGGGTGCGCTGCGGTGCATTTGGGGTCCCTCAGTGGCTCTGACAGTCCCTGGGCAGCTCCTCCAGGGAGGAGCCTGAGCTGTGGGGCTGGGACCACGTGCGGCTCCCCAGGGCAGGTGTGATGAAACATGAATCTTGTACCTCTACCTGGGCTGATGATGATATTCATGGGGAAACCACTCGGCTTTTCCAGGGGATGCTCTGCCAGGGAGCACGGACGTGACTGTGGCAGCCGGGGCGGTTTTCTTTTTGCCCAGCCCACGGTATTTAGGGCAGGCTGTGTATGGGACAAAAGGAATTCATGAACTTGCAATGTTGTTTTTTTTCTTTCTATATCAATGACTTTTTCCTTTTTTCTTCTCTCCCCTGACCAACCTGCCTGCCCCGCAGACGACAGCTGCCAGGACCAGGCGGGAACCAACTGCGCTCTGGCCATCAAGGTGAACCTGTGCAGCCACTGGTACTACAGCAAAGCCTGCTGCCGCTCCTGCCGTGCTCCCCACTCCTAGTGCGGGGCTGGGGGGGCCCGGCCAGGCTTCTCCCCCCACCCACAGGGCCCCAGGCACCGTGCAGGGTGAGCTGCCGGACCCTAAGGGCGCTTCCAACCATCCTTCCCCTGCCGGCGCAGAGCTGCTCCCCTCCCCTCCCTGGTCATCAGAGCTGTACATAGGTCCTGTATATTTGATTTCCCCCGCCGGCAGCCATTCACCTCTTTTTTTCCAAGGTCTTGTCCTTTGGTTTCTTTCTGCCTGTGCACGTTTGGGGTTGGCAATAGGGTGGCGTGAGCCTGTTGGAGGGAGAGCACCAGCACCTTTCCCTTGCAGGGGGTGCCTCCTCCCCGATTTATCCCCCAAATCTGAGCTCTCGTTAGCTGCATTTAACACGGTGGGGAGCTGATCTTTGCTAAATGAACTCGAGCCCAGGCCCTTTTTTTTGTAATATGTAGGTGTATACTTTTTCAGAGGATTTTATCTTATAATCAAATGGTAGTTCCATAGTCCTTACAAAAAAAAAAAAGGTAATGCTGACATATTGTATATAATATGGAAACATAACTGCACTTTATATCACAAAAAAGACGTGCTCTTTTTTAATATATTTGTTTACATACAGTGAACTTTATCCACATAATCATTAATTTGTACTCATATGTATATTTTAATAAAATTGTCATATTTATGGTGGTATCTTGTTTTATTCTCCAGTTTGTGGTGGGTGTTTGCCCCTTGGTGCTGGAGATGTTGGTGTCAGGGCTACCACTCTGTGGGCTGGGTCTCTTCCTGGGGGAAGAAGAGCAGCTCTCAGCCCACGAAGGGGAAATGCAGCTGCTCTGATAGCCAGGCAGGGAAAAGTCCCTGAATTTGGGGCCTTTCTGGGCCACTGCTCTGGGGTTTGGGATTCTCTGGGAGTTGGGTCCTGGGTTTATGAACTGCCTGATTCCTTCAGGAGTCTGCAGGCAGAAAGAGGTTTGATATGGTACCCAGAAAAAGGAGGTACCTCCCAAAGGAGGTGGTTTTGTTCAGTGTTTCCTTGGGCAGGGGGCTCACCAAACATCCCCGGTGTTGGTGCTCTCCCCTGTGCTGCACTGAGACCTCACAGGGGGAGTTCCTGCACCTTTGTGATGCTTCTGCAAACAGCACCCTGCCTTTGAAGGTACACAAAGATGGGCCTCAAAATCCACGGCAAAGTAGTTTTTTTAATATATTTTTTTTCTTTTATTTTTTTCTTTGATGCCCGAAGTCCTGTACAATAGTTCACCAGGTGAAGGTTAGAGAAAGTCAATCATTTGCTTCATTTCCAAGCTACACTGAATGGAAAAAAATAAAAAATAAAAGGAAGAGAAAGAAAAGGAAATAAAGGAAGGCCGGAAAGATAAGTACATTCACAAGAAATGCAAAGGATCTGAAGTCTAAATGCGTTTAACCAAACTGCAGTGAGCACTGTACAACCTGGCTGTGCCACCCGGAGCAGGGAGCTGCTCCCTGGAGCACAGCCCGGGCAGGACCAAACGCTGGATATTAAACGTGTACAAAACCAAGCCCAGACCCCCCCCCACCCCCCCCAAGAGAAACCCCAAAAAGTCAAAGATACTCTGCAAAGACCGACTTGTACCTCAAAAGGTTTGGTGGGGAATTAAAAGCCCTCACAGCTAAAATGTCCGGATGGGCTGCAGACAATGCGGGTACACCGATGGCTGCGGAGCGCCGGCTTTTTTCTTCTCATCCCATCTTTAAAATCGATGCCTGACCCAGAGCACAGCGCTGAGGCCATCAGAGTCCATTTGCAGCCCCTGCACCCTCTGCTGCAGCAGGGCAAGCTGTCCCCCGAGTCCAAGGTGATGCTTTTAACCTGAATACCGCACAGTCCGGGAGCAAGAGGGTACTTGTAAGACAAACCGTACACGTGGAGGGAGGAATTGAGCCAGCAAGGGGAAAGCAAGGCCTGTGAGCACCCCATGGATGCACCAACGCAAGGTGCAGGTCCTGCTACCACAGCTGTAGTGATAACCAAACTGCTCCCTCGCTGCTTGGCCAGCACCCAGCACCAGCTCCGTGCCCGTGCAGCCCTGGCTGGACCCAGCGCGGAGCTGGGGCAGAGCTGGTGCCACGGTCCTGGCCAGGGGAAACAGCACAGGAAGAAACAGAGGTGGCTCTGCCTGAATGTGAAGTGTTCTGACACATCCCTGGGAGGGGAGACAGTTTCGTGGGTGTTTTTGTAGTTTTTAATAATATATATATTTAATTAAATTTATTTTTAACTTTTTTTTTAATAAAAAAAGCATGTAAAAATGTGCACGCAGGGGCGTACGCACACATACGCGGCCACTCTCTTGCTCTCCCAGCGCTCGGCTCCCTAGATTAGAAGTAGCATATGGCGTTATTTGTTGGGGGCAGGCTGGTTATTTGGGGAGGGCAGCTCTGGGTCGTCCCTCCATCTGGAAGCGTTCTGTGCGTTGCTCCCACCCGGCAGCGCAGCCGCGTGTCTGTGCGCTTGCAAACCCACCCAGCCCAGCTCCATCGGGCTCAGACAAGCTCTGCACCCGCTGCCCCCAGCCCCTGAGGGTCTCACGGCTGCAATCTGGGGAGAAATGGCCAAGGGGGGCAGCGAGAGGGTGCAGGCACCGGGACAGGATGGGTGCGCACGTGTGCATGGCTGCAGCACGGAGCGGTGCAGGATGGGGTGGTGGAGGGGTAGGCAACAGGAGCCCTGCTTTGCCAGGGGACCATGGGGTGTGTGTGTGTGTACACACGTGTGTTTGCACACTAGGGCCAGGACCCCGTGGGTGCTGGGTGTCCCCAGAGAGCAGCAGTGGGTGCCCCCTGGCTCGCAGCACGAGGCATTTTGCAGCCACCCCTGCGCCCGTCGCCTGCCCGATGTTCAGTGCTCCCGTCTGACGTGGAGGAGGGGCATTTACTCTGTATAAAAGGCTGCACAATATCAAAATCCTCTTTATAAAAGAAAAACAAAAATGCAAAGCAGCACTAGAAAACCTCGTGTCCCCGCTGCAACCATCCTCACCCTCGCTCACCCCCTTTTTGGTAAATTTACCACGTCTCTGCCTACAGAACGCAGCAATACATTCAAAATCCCCCCCCCAAGCCCTATTTATTTTTTTTCTTTAAAACTATTCTGTGGGTTTTAAAAAGTCCTCGGGAAGGCGCGATGCTGCCTCACACGTCGGTGCTGATGCTGCGGCTGCGGGAGAAAGCTTCCCGCATGGCCGAGAGCCGGTTGGGGTTGAGTGCCTGCAGGTTGCCCACGCTCACCGGCAGCTCCAGATCTTCCTGGCTGACGGTTTGGTAGCTGACCCGGTCCCCCCCGTTGTGCAGCTCCTCGGGGGGCTCCTGAAGGAAGAAGGTGGGGGGCTCATACTGCCCGCAGCCGGGGCAGCCGCTCCGGCTCGGCGTCGGCTTCTTGCCGAAGGGCGAGGAGGCGTAGAGGGACGGGCCGTTGGTCAGCACTACGTTGCGGTTGCAGTGGAGCGGAGGGATGTGGGAGTGCACGGCAAAGTCGGGCTCCTCCTCGTCCTCCTCGGACTCATCCTTCTTGCAGCAGTAGTACTGGAACGGGATGGGGCTCAGCCGGGGTCCTGGTGCCACCACCGCTTCGCCACGCGCTAGGGAGGTGGGATCGGGCACGGGGACCCCCCTGTCCTGCCCCGTCCTTATCATGCTGCCCTGCCCCATCCCCGTTTTGGTTTCCCGCCCCATCCCCATCACGGTGCCCTGCCCCATCCCCATTTTGGTGTCCTGCCCCATCCCCATCACGGTGCCCTGCCCCGTCTCCATCCCCATGCCCTGCCCCGTCCCCGTGACGCCACATCCCCAGCCTTACCTGGAGCCTACAGTAGCAGAGGACAGCGATGATACAAAGTAAAATGACAGTCGCTAATATTCCACCTGTGATGACCACGGTCCCGGCTGTCATTCGCCCTCTTCTCCATTAACAGCCTGCAACACAGAGCACACGGGGTGCTGGGGCGCGGTGCTGCCAGCCGGGGAGGGGGGCTGTGCCTTTGTAGAGGGGTGAGGGCAGGATCAGGCCGGGTGCCAGCACTGGGAAAGCCATCAGGGGAGCCCTCGGCCCCTCTAAATGCCACCTGGCAGGTGGGAGAGGATGGAAAAAGCCTGGTGCAGTGAGGGGAGAGATTTACTGAGTGTTAGTGCACCCCGCAGGTGTGCCGAATAATTGAGCTGCAGCGACAGCACACCTCGATGGGGGGGTGAACGGGGGTGCTGGGACCCTATGGGACTCACACAAATGGTCCTGCAGTGAAAATCCCATCCTGTGATGACGAGGGAAGCAGCAGCCACCAGTAAGCTGCCCCATCAGCCAGCTGAGCAGGGGTGCCATGGGGTGCACAGCACCCCCAGATCTGTTCTGGGTACCAGCAGGGTGCTCCGAATGCAGGAGAGGGGTAAAGGGAAGTAAAATCCTGCCCGGTGCCAGCACAGGGCTTGGCCATGAGCTCACAACCCCCCCGGTGCCCTCTGTGCCCTGTGCTGGGGACAGGGACCTGCCCACGGCTCCTGCCGGGAGCGCGGAGCTTCAGGAGCAGCGTTGCAGTAAGGGGGGGGGGGGGGGGGGGGGGTGTGAGGTTGAGCTGTGCACATTTTTTCTCTGAGCCTATAATCCATTTTCCCCATGAAAACAATGTGGTATTTTAATTTGGAATAACTGGAACTGCTAAGTGAGCCTTTAACGACTGCAGGGACAGGCTCTCTCCTCGCCCCTCCCAAAGCAGCGAGCTGCGGTATGGGGTGGATCCGCCTGGCGCAGCAGGGACCGAGCTCTGGGCCTCATTTTGGGTAAGATGAAGTGTTGGGGAAGCACAGGGGAACCCGTGAGGGTGCTTCTGAGAGCCCTGGGCACCCAAACCAAGCGTGCTGACCATCATGGGGATGGTCAAGCCACTTGCTTGTTTCTCAGGGTAGCACCAGCAGCCGCCTCTCCCCACAATGCCCTTAGGGGAATTTGGGTGCTAGCATGGTAAAATGTGTAAGGTCCCCAACCCTGTGCTGAGCAGACGCTGTGCATCATGTGGTGTGAGACAAGCACAAGCCCTGAAATACTGGTGCAGGTCTTGCACTGAGCATCCTTGCCCCAGGAGCTCAGCAGAGGCTTGAAATTCCCTCCAGCCGTGCAGAACAAGACCGAGCTCTGCCCTGGGGGGGGATGTGAGGAGCAGCACCGCTGCCTGCACACACCTCATGCACCAACACCGGCATCACTCCACAGCCCCAGCAGCCCCTCAGTGCCACGAGAGTGGAGCTGGGAACAGGATCACCACCATAAATTAACAGAGAGAGTGAACTCTGACCACCTACCCGACAAGCGCTTTAACAAAGCTGGCCTCCAGCTCGTGAGATCAGGCTAAAGAAAAAAAAAAAAAAAAAAAAAAAAACACACAAAAACTAAAAAACCTAAAAAACAGCCACCCCAAACCCAAATTGCTTCAGCACCCGAGGAAAAGCAACCGTATCTGTCAGGGATTTAACCTGCTTCCAAAGAAAATAAATCTGCGGCATATTTTCAGGCGCTTAATGTCCTGCTAAAGTTGGGTAAGTGCTGAATGGATAAAGCAGTATCACATTTTATGTCGCTGCTGAGCGGGGCTGTAGGATTTATACCACCACTGTGCAACGTGAGAGCTTCTCATACTGCACAGCCATGGGGCAAGTGTGGGGCCGAATCCTGCCCTCATCCCTGGGGCAAAACGCTCTGTGGCGGCTCAGGGGGACACAGCCAGGGAAGTGTCCTCCCAAACTGCATGAGGGATTTGGGAACGCCTGCTCAGAAAGGGATTTAGGGCCGTGCTGGGTGCCCCTGCGCCTGCGCTGCTCCCGTTTCCATTAAATGGGTGCCCTGGGGCAAGCAAGGGGAGCACGAAGCGATGTGCCCTGCTTCCCTCCCCACTGGTGCCACCATGGTCGGCCAGATGTGCCACTCACAGCCACCACTCGACACAGAGCCAGACCTTCTGCATCTCACTTTTTCCCTCCCGTAACATACTTGTCTGATTAAAGCTGGGTACCTGGAAGCACTAAACTCTCCAGCGTGCAAAGGAAGAGGGGGGAAAAGCCCATAAGCAGAACAATTCCTGTCTAGACCTCCTTTTTACATTTGTTCCTAATTTCACGCTCCGCAGGCTCACAGATTCATATATTTAGTAATAAATATCTTGGTAAAAGGAAGTGCTTTGCAGCTCCGCTGTGGGCTCGGGGAAGGTATGCAGGAGCCCTGCTAGGAGGAGCGCAGGAACCAGCAGGCGCGTCCCACGGCCACTTGGCTCCTGCCTTCCCCCTGGGTAATGTGAGGAGCCCTCGAGCTACCAAGGATGCCCGAACACCCGAAAAGCTGAAGGTATTTCTCTGCACAGCTGTTTTGGGCTGCTCCTGGCTGAGCTGCTTTGGTTTAGGCACCATCCTGTGCTGCCTGCCTGGTTTTGCTGTGGCTGCAGCTCGAAGGGTCTGGATGGCAGCAGCCCTGCAGCAGCTGGAAAGCCTAAAACATGAGCGAATGGACTTTGTTCCTCACAGCCTGGAGAGGGCACGAGCAGAGCTCCCAGCAGTTCTAGCCCTGGTTTGGTGGCTCCTTCCCTTGTTCCAAGTGCTGGAGCCCTCCAGCCACAGCAGGCTCCTGAAGAGCAGCCAGACCCTGCCTGGTGGTGGCTGAGGTGAGGCTGAGGTTTCTGTAAGAGACCTTCAGGTGCCAGTTAAACCAGCTTCTGGCGTTTGCAGGTGTAAGAAAAACCTTCAGACTGGACTTCTAGATGAACAGGGCCTCCACCTACCTCATCCCATCCCATGGCAACATAGTCACCCCAAGGCCTTTTGCACTAGCTGGAAGTACATTAATAGAAAAGACCAAAAATTGAGCCTGGTCAGTGTGCTGGTCCCACCAAAGCTCTGCCTGCCCCAGGAGATCGTGCTTTAGAGCAAAGAGCCGTGGCCACAGCTTGTCCTACAGCAGCAGCGCTCCATGCATCTCCTGCCAGCCCTGGGACCTGCAGCCAGAGGCCACACATCCAGCCCACAAAGGCTTCCAGGCCTTTTCCCAGCTCTTCCACGCCCAGCTACCCCTGATGCCATGCTTCTGATCAAGCTCCACTTCAGAAGAAAGGAAAACAGCCCAGCAATTAGAAAAAGGGCAATGGGAGAGCACACGAGGCGTGCAGGACGCCTGCTGCTTTACACCCCGCAGCCAGGTGCAGGCAGCATCTGTGACCCAGGAACTTGGCCCAGAGGTCAGAAAGACATCTCAATGTAATGAACTGCCCTGGGAAGGGGAAACTGAATCTGAGCCCTTGATTTTGGGGGAACCTGGCCTGCTTTGGCCTCTCGGTGCCAGCACTCTGCCCGAGGGTGAACCCCAAAGCAACCAGCAGGAGGGGGGAAGCCCAGCAAGCAGCCTCCAGCACCGGTGGTAGGAAGGCAGCAAATGAATGAGAAGCCCAAACCCATTTGGAGGCAAACAGAGCCATGTTGCGGCGTTTCCCCCAGTGGCTGTAACCCTGCCCAGTCAATGAACAAGGGCCGGGCTCGAGGAGCAGCAGGGCAGCGTGCCAGAGGGAGGTTTGCACTCAGGGAGCTGGCAGGCAGGGCAGCTGCCAGGAACACGGGTACAGGACAAGGTTCCCGGCTGAAACCCACTCCAGGCAGCGGGGCTCAGCACTGCTCTGTGCTTTTTCTCTCTCTTGTCCCCGTGACGGCAGCACCGCTGGCCTGGGGGCTGGTGCTCTGCACTGCCAGCTGGCCTGCATGGGCAGTAACACAGCCGGGAGCTTTTACACCCCATCAGAATGGGAAGCAACCAAACCTCACACCCACCTGGAAGTGCTTGCCCCTTTCTACTGCCCTTATTGCTTGCTGCTGCCTGCCTCGAAGCCACTCACCAAGGCCACTGACCCCCCTCCAGAGGTAGCCCGCAGCTCGGCTAGGTCTGCAGGGACCCTGCTGGCTTCAGTCCCAGCCCTCCTCAAGCATCCCCCAAGCTCCTGCTGACATCCAGACCGGAAACAATCCATGGAGGAGGTGATCAATAGCTGGTTCCCAATCAATGCTTCAGCTGCCAGGTTCCTCTGGCGCAGTGCTGAGCTCTGCAGAAGAGCATCCCCGGGGCCATCGGGCTCAGCACGACCGGGGACTGTGGCTGCTGGGGACAGAGAGGGCAGGAGGAAAATGCCTCTGCTCTGAGGCCACAGCCCCAAAAAGATAGCGGGAGCTTGTGGAGAAAAACAGAGCCCTCTCTCTGCTCAGAAGCTGGTCCAATGCTCCCTCCTGCTGGTTTTAGCTTCCCCTGGCAATGAGGCAAGCCTCAAGGTACATCAGGCTGATGCAGGATGAGCACTAGGGCAATACGGACAGGTTGCATGGATCATAACCCCAGGTAAGCTGTTCCATGCCCTAGGATCGATCCTCTCTGCTCTGCTCCTTCCCAACCAGAAACGTTCCCAGAGCAGCACGGACGGCCAGGCAATGGGGACAGTCAAACGTCACACTGAACCAGTCCTTCCGTCTGCTCTTTTTATCATCCCACGCAATTTTATAGCCCATAGTGCTCTATTAAATATTATATGGCAGACCAAAGACCCAGAGAGAAGCCGCTGCTTTTCTGACAAGCTGTATGAGACTTCTCCATATGCTGCGGACGCGGCGGGCGCGCATCCCTGCAGGCGGCAGCGCCGGAGCAGCCGGGCTGTGCTCCTGTGCTGGAACAGCTCAGAGAGAGCAAAACCCAGCAGAGGATGCCCAGACAACTCGTCAGGGACATCACACAGCAACAGCCACTCTGAATTTTTTTATTTTTTTTTTCTGAATCTAGTATCAAAGAAAGGCTTAAAAGAATCACAGATTCGTGGGACAATTAGGGATCCCCCCCCACACACACACTAATTACCATTATTCATATTTAAAAGGGACATCAGCTCTTAGTGAGCCTTCTGAATGCT